AAATATTACCAGGGATCTTTTCAAAATCTGATATCCAAACCATGCCCATAACCAATTAAATAAAATGGGGTAGGGGAGTTGGGGTATGTAATCCAAGTATCAGAACAGTTCAAAGTTCATCTGGTGTTTCCAATGTGCACCAAAGTTAAGAACCATTGCTCTCGGGACAGTATTTTTTAAAAAAATTTCAAACTAGTGGAGGAGATATTTTTGAATGGAAAATATAGCATGTTTCTCTACAGAAGTTGCTAACTGGTGAAATGATCATGGTAATAGACCATTTTTATTATTAGAGAAATTCCATATTAAAAATAGAGGTTCAATTACTAGGTCTTGATTTCAACAAATTACTTCACTTAAATTCCACATATAAAATAGGAATTATAAAAACAATGCCTATCTTATTTGGGTGTTGAAAATTATCAAAGAAAACAGGGCATCAGAAAATGTTTTATAAAATATGAAACTCTTAATTTGTTATTATATAGCTGTGTAGTACAATCACCTGTTATTAAAAAAGAGTAGTTTTAGTGGTAATGTGGATTACAACTTCAATGTAGGCTATCACCCAAAAAACTAGTTACTTCACTTTAATAACCATTTACTTGAGGATATCTAAGTGTCTGGCCTAGAGTCTTTGGAAGTATAGTTCTTGAATAAGCAGCACCAGCATTACCTGGAAACTTGTTCTGAAAATAATAAAGTTTTAATTCACTGGGCTTGAGTTTTCTCATGAAGGAAGTCACAGTTGTATCTTAAAAAATCACATTTCTCTTGAAGACAATACTCTATAGTATCTCAGTGTTCCCAATCAAGATAAGGAAGTGTTTCATCACTGACTCAGAGAAAAGACCATTATGTGGACTGAATCACACCGGATGTTTCCTGCATATTAAATTTGTCACTGGGTCTGCTAAGCAACAGAAAAATAGTCTCAAAACTTCTTATCTTAAAAGACCTCCTATGAGAAAGCATGCCCTCATCCCTCCATCCCACCCCCACCTTTTTTTTTTCACTTGGAAATAAAAGTTTCTCTCAGTTTACTTGGAGATAAAAGTTTCAGGCTGGCCTCAAACTTGTGAAATTCCTGTCTCAGCCTCCTAAGTATATGGGATTACAGGTGTGTGCCACCATACCTGGCTTTTTATTAAAAAATTATAATTATTAATCCAGGTGTAGTGGTGCATGCCCGAATCCCAGCACTCTGGGGTTAAGGTAGGAGGATCACAAGTTTCAGCTCAGCACAACTAAGAGAGCCCCTGTTCCCAATGATAAATGTAAATGTATTGTATACCTAAAATGTACCAATAAAACAATTTAAGAGAAAAAAAAAGAAAAGCCAAAAGCTAGAGATGTAGCTCAGTGAGAAGGTCATGATTTCAAGATACACATTTATTAATTGTACACAATAATGAGATTGAGATTCTTTGTTCATAGCCATCCTCCTTATTACCTTCTCTTTTTTCCCTCTTTTTTAAGATATTAGGGATTGAACCCTGGGCCTTTGCACCTAGACTTTCTTAGTTTTTATTTTAAGACAGGGTTTTCCTAAGTTATCCAGGCAGGACTCAAATTTGCTATCATCCTGCCTCAGTCTCCCACCATGCTGGAATCACAGGCATGTGCCACCACACCAGGTTCCTATTACCCTCTCTTATTTCTTCTCCCTCTTCTCCATGGTATCCTTCCCTAATAGTCCCCTTTCTCCTGAGAAAGTGAAGATTACTGACCCCCAACTCAAAGTTCAAAGGTCAGTAAAACATATGCAGGGATAATAATAGGTAAGAACACTTGCACGATCTTGTGAGACTGCAATGAAAGTTCTTTGAGATTTCTAACTTTCTTTTTTTCCATTTTAAGAATTTTTGAGAACCTCAAGATACCCAGACATCTCTGGGGAGACAAAAGTGGAGTATCACAATTAAGAATTGACCTCAGTGTTCATCCTTTGTTTCTGAGTGAAAAATAGATAGAAATAATTCTTTTGAAAGGTTTCTTAACTGTAGATGGAATTTATCTACTATTGCCAAGTAGATGATTCTGGCTATCTTTGATCAAGGTTCCTGATCCCTAAGGGGCTTTACTTATTTCCCTCCAATGTACGCTTCCTGTATTTAAAGAACTTAATATCAAAACTAAGGGTGTATACAGAAAGAATCACTTCAATAATTGATATCTGTATTTTATATCCTAGTACATTCTATACCCTGCCCTACTCCCAGAGTTTCTACTTATTCAAAGTATAGAAAACAAAAGTCAGAACTTGGTTTTACTTACTCATGCTAATTAAAATTACACTGTTTCTCCTTAGCAATTGCTCTGCCCTATCTCATAAAAATATTAGCAATTCTAAATTCTCATGTCCTATATTGGAAAGAACGGGTACACACATTACTCACTCATTCACTGTCTATATAAACACCTAATGAGCACCTACTATGTTCCAGATATTGTTCTAGGTGCAAAATGAGTCTATAAAGATGCACAGATTCCAGTAGTCAGGCTACAGACTCTGTCTAGAATACTAAATATTAGTTTCTCTGAAAGCCAAGACCAGTGGAACACAAACTTAAGAGAGAATCAGAAACATCTGTAGAGCTTGTTAAAACATAGTCTGCTTGGCCCCAATCTGAGAGCATTTCTAACAATTCCCTAACTGATATTTATGCCGCTGGTCCAGGGACCATACTTTGAGAACCACTTACCAAGGCAAATGACAGCTTTTCACATTATGCCTACCAACTTTCAAGCAAGGTACTTCCTTTCCCCCAAAAGGCAATAGCTTTGTGAATATTCATAATCACTCATAACCAAACAGATATGGGTTCCCAGAATCACTTCAAATATCTAAGATCAGTAGCTCCACAATCAAAGAAAGATGTATAATAAAGAAGAGAAAAATCTCTGTCTAGGGGCTTTTCTCCTGTCCTGCTTTTCCTTTGTTTTATTTCTATCACAGAAAATCATTTCTATTTCTTAATACAAGTGTAATGGAAAAGAGTAACTCATTTAAGCTTTTCATACTTTTGTGCTTCAATAAGTTCATAGTTTTTCTTCCAAATTAAGTTCTCATGGCCTACCCCTCTTTCATTTTTGTTGGACTACCTCCTCTCTGAACAAATAGAATCATAGGGTTGAAGGAATATTGAGAATTCATTTAATCCCTCCTTGGCCTCAGACAAGACTATGTCTAAACCATCCCCAAATATAGCAATTTCAGCAAAAGGAAAATAGGCACTAAGAATTTCCCATTCAACATGCTGTCACATACTTGAAGATACTAACATGTTTCCCCTCAGCCTTCTCTTCTGTAAGCTAATCAAGCTTAATTTTAGGCTTTCCTTATTAGATTTCCTAAATTTTACATTGCTTGGACTCTAATAAGTTTATCCCACTTTACCTCAAGGCCTGAATTATATATGTATTGTTCTAATTACAACTTTTTGTTGGTATGTGGAAAGGGAAAGGTTAACTTATAGTTTGACTAAAAGAAATTTAATTACAGTAAAGAAAGATGTATGTATAAATGCCATTAAAATATAATGCAGTGGCACTCATTTGAACAATGAATTAATTGAGGATAATCAATAATGACATTATTTACAAATATGTTTTTATTTATTAAAAGAAATGGTAATGGATTATAGTTTTTTAAAGTTTATATTATAAATCACTAGCTATTTTGCACATAAATTGATGGGTTTAGAGAACTTATTAAATATGCCACAAATCATACATAATCATGTTTCATGATATTTCACATAGGACAGAACATTAATATGTTAGTATTCATTTGCTTTTTAAATGTTATATAGTATTTACTATTGAAATGGGAGTTGTAGTTAATTGATTTAATATACATGAATCTAAAAATACTGAATCTGTTATATAATAATTATTTTTCAAAATGACTTCTCCAGTTCAAACCTCAAAAATCAGAGGTGTTTAGAGATTCATTGAATGTATGACAAGACTGGATACAGTCATGTGAAGTCATTATTTCTGCACCATTTATAAAGGGAATATAATTAATACACTAAATGTTTTAATTTCATCCATTTCAGATATCATTATTTCAAACTTTATCTTTGCTTCAGGAGTGGTGAGATGCTCTAGTTCAGCCTAAGCCTTAGGGATAACTTTGTTTCCTCACTTATTGGGATCAAGATGGAGGCGAGGCATTTAGTCTCCAGAGAGAAGGAAGATGCTGCTTGCACAGCACTTCTACTCACCAGTCCATGCAGCAGCAAGGGTGTTGGCTTTGAAGGAAGCCAACTGTCCTGCTCTCCCAGCCAGAGGTAAAGAATTGCATTGGTGGCCACTAGAGGGAGGAGGATTAGGAATAGAGTAAATTGTGGGGAAAAGGCACCCATGAAAAACGCACATGGGACAACCAACACATCACCAACCACTGCCTAGCAGCTACCTCTACCTCTCTGAGGGACTACAATGGGGTCAGTACACACCATTAGTCCAGAGACCAGGCACCAGTAGTTACTGTAGCATCCCAGTATATAGCCCCTTAACTGATGGCTGGAGAAGGGAGTCTGAATAGGATTGTGGGAAACACAAACATACAACCACAAACATACTATTACACAGACATACAGTCTCATCCCCCGTTACAAGAAGTTGCATCTGAGATGTCTGATTCTTGCTCGTTTTCTTATTTAAAACTATTTATTTATTTATTTATTTTTACCAAGAATGTGTTCATGAAAAGCAAATAGCCCACCTTCAAGAAAGTCTTGGGAGAAGCACCAGCAGACACTCATTGTGCCAAGATGTATTTTATCAACAAATCTGTATAAATTACATGAGGTTGAAAACAAATGGAATATAATATAATTAAAGCAAAGTTTCTTTTGCTAAATTACCGCTTGGAGCAAACCTGCAAAAAATGTTTCCAATTAGCTTCTTCAGCAAACACAAAGCATAGCTCAAAGTATGTTTTGCTCTCCATCCTGCCCGCTGGGTGGGCTGCCTAGTGGGTGTCTTACCTCCAGCACAAGTAGCTGAGCATTCTGACCAAGGGTGATGATTCCATGTAAAGCCCACTTCATTATCGCCACTGCCAGTCCGGGTGATAGGAACATTGAACTTATACCGAATTCCCAAATTCTGTTCCTGGAGGAGAACCTGCCATTGAAAACAAATGGTGAAGGTAATTAAAATACAATGAGCTTTCCTTCAGATATTTATTACTTCTTTAGAAGAAGAATATACCATAAAGCAAATCTTACAGGAAATTTAAGACAACTTTAAACATATATACATTTATATAAAATTTTCTTCCATTTTCATGATAGTTTGAGCAAATTCTTTCATTTATCTTGGTTGGGTATAAAAATATTATTCAAGAAAGCACTGAAAAGATAAAACAGTTATATAGAAAGAGTGTTATCACTTTTACTTCATATTCTTTGACGTTGGGCAAATAATTTTACTTTTATTTTCCTTCATTTCATCCCCAGTAAAACAGAGAAATTAATTAACCCTTCTTACCTCATAAGGCAGAATTACAAACAGTAGAAATAAAATGACAAAGATACATTTACCATTACAATGAGATTTTCTGAGGTGGGACCTAGAGCTTCCAAGGATTCTGGTTCATCCGTTGGTCTCTTGTAGTGAAAAGCTGTCCCAGCAACATCAAACTTTCTAGGCCAATCAATAGTCCAGGCACCATTAATATAGTAATCATCCCCTTCAGATTTTAAAGCTGGAAAACAATCAAAATCCACCTTAAAATGTGAAGCTTCATTTACTAAATTGTAACACATTAATTATTGCCCTGAAATATATAATGAATACCCATTCTCATTTAGAGAGATGATGCATGACTATTTTCTTATATACAAATTAAAACAGTAATTTTCACGTGAATGTTAAGATGATATTACTTAAGTATTGTTTTTCACTGATAGAAAAGAATGAAAAGTTTATCTGGAAAAATAAATGTAGCACTAGCAAGAAAAATCACAACAAACAGAATACCTGGGGGTGGGGGCAGAGATGGGGAGGAGACTTTCCTTTCCAAATACCAAACAGAAATTAAATAACTATGAGGCTGGGGACAGTCTATGATACTGGCACAAAGAATGACAGAATAACTGGGGATTTAGCTCAGTGGTTTCACAGCCTGCTGCGCAAGCGCAAGGGCCCAAGTTTGATCCCCAGCACCAAAAAAGAAAAGTGAAAATGAAAAGCACAGTTTGATGGAAAATGCAATACAGTGAACTATATTACAAACAAAAAGCACTTTGGCCGGGGATTTAGCCCAGTGGTGCTGCCGCCTGCCTTGCAAGCGCAAGGTCCCAAGTTTGATCCCCCATCCCCCCCCCCAAAAAGAATGACAGAACAATGAAACCAAATAGATTTAAAGAATAAACTCAAGTACATATGAGAATTTAGTATATGGCAAAGGTAGTACCTGAAGTTAGTAAAGGAAATATAATAAGAAATAAGGCTAAGACAAAAAGATTAGCCTTTGGTGGAATTGGTGGAAGACTGCATTCTTTATGTAAAAATAAATGCCACAATTCCACTCTTAGGTAGATGAACAAAAGAATAAAAATACAAGTACTCAAATACTTGCATATACATGTTTATATTAGTACTATTCCCAATAGTGAAAAAAAGGAAACAACCCAAATATCCATCAATAGATGAATGGATGAACAAATTATGGTATATACAAGCAATGGAATATTATTCAGTCTTAAAAGGAATGAAATATTGATACATGCTATAATGTGATGAGCCTCAAAAATATGCTAAGTAGAAGAGGCTAGAAAGAAAAGGCCACATATTGTATACTTCCATTTATATGAAGTAACCAGAATGTGTAAAAATCCAGAGACAGAAAGCAGATTGGTGATTTCCAGGGTAGGAGGGATAGGAGGAACAGGGAACACCTGCATGAACAATATGGGGTTTCCTTGGGGGCTAATAAAAATGTTTTGGAATGTACTAAAATGTTACTGAATTATTCAGTTTTAATGCTTCACTTTAAATTTTTTGTAATGTGAATTTCACATAAAAAAACAAAGATTTTTTAAAAAGATAAAGAATAAACACCAGATGGATAAATATTTAGGTAAAAAATAGTTAAATTATAATATGTCAGAATAAAATATGGTAGAATTTTTTTTCTCACAACATTAGGATATGAAAAGATTTTCTAAGTATGATAAGAAACTCAGAAACTAAAAAGGGGGGAATTGGGGATGTAGTTCAGTGACAGAGCACTTGCATAACATATACAAAACCCTGGTTTTAATTCCCAACACCCCCCAAAAATCCATAAAGTAAAAGATATGCATGTATAAATTTTGAAGACCTCTACTATATATATATATATGTATACATACTATATGTATATATCTATATATATATACTATATATGTTTTTTAAAGTTAACAATATGTGGCCAAAGAAGGATGTTTAGCACTACTATACAAAAATTTCTATAATAAAGACAGCAATAAACATGTTAATTTAATGTTTTGTTAGTATGCTAGCTTACTTTAAAAAATTTAATTTATCAGATCAGGTGAACAAGCTGCAGAAAAGAAAAGAAAGCATCATAGTTTGAAGAGTTTCTGACTCTCTCTTTACCTCTGGTCCTTAAGACCATTTTCATCCCCTTTATCTCATCTGCCTGGCAAATATATTTGCATTTTCTTACCTTCAGATATGTTGTAAAGATTCATTTATTTGCCAAAAAAAATCTGAGTAACCTTTTGAGATAGGAACATATCAACCAAACTTAAGGATTATTTGGTCTTGAATTTACAATTTTTTTCAACACTGTTCCAGTGGCTTCCTGTCTCATTTAAAACATCAAAATTACTTAGGTTTTATATGAAATAGTAAAAATTAAAATAACTATCAACTGCTTTGAGATCTTCAATTTGGTCTCTCACTTTTCTTTTCTCAACTACTAAATGAAGAGATCCTAACTTTTTTTTTTAATTAAATTCTTTTATTGGTACATTGTATGTATACAACACAATTACATTTCTCATTGGGAATTGTACCTTTACATAATGCA